GCCAGCGGCTCTGCACAGAGCCTGGGCAATAACAAACAGGAAAAGCAGCAGGGCTGCGGTAGCAGCAGCGGGCATCGGCAGGAAGGATGTGCAGTGCCCCAGGGGCAGATCTGTCCTACCTGAGCCAGACCCTTCAGGGACCTTCCTCCTCAAATACATCCCCTTCCCTGCCCTGCTGGGGACGAAGAGCCCGCATGTCTTCCCTTGATGTGTCCAGGGATGGTCCCAGGTGCAGAGGGGTGGCGGGTGGCACCCACAGGGACGTGGGTTAAGGGGACAGTGCGGTGGCACGAGGACCACACTGCACACAGCCAGGCATGGAGGGCAGGAGGTGCTGAGCCCTGGCTCACCCCACAGCGGGATGGGGAAAGGGCTGGTGCATAGCCCAGGCAAGGGCATATGTCCGGGGCAGCAGGGACAGGAGGACTCATTCGGGCTCCCTGTGCGGCAAGTGGGGTCTGGTGTCCCTAGAGTGGTACTGCTAGACCACATAAAGCATACCACCTCACCCTCCTGCCAGCAGCCTCAGCGCCACAGCCGGTTCTCACCCATCCCTCCATGTCCGGCATTGGCCACAGCCGGTGGCAGAGGGCACCAAGCACACCCCGTCAGCCCTGCCAGAGATGCTCAGGATGGCACCTCAGGATTCTGGAGGAGGCACAGCTGTGCCCACAGGTGCAAGATGGGGTTAACGGGGGGGCTCGGGACTGGGGCTGCAGGCGGCCCGGTGGAGCCGAGCTGCGGTGATGTGGCCGGTATGTGTGTGGGCGGCAGGCAGGGTGGGGGGGGGAAGGAGGGAGAGGAAGCGGCAGAGGCAGCAGCTCCTTTGATAAGCAGCTTCCTGAACACTTTCAAACCGTGGTGTTAGACCGACACGCGCGGCGCCTGCGGGCCTGTGCCGGGACCGATGGAGCCCACGCCACGGGGCAGCAGGTAGGCAGCCCCTCAGCCTGCCCGTGCCACCCGCTGGAGAGGGGACCCCCGCCGGGAAGTGCCAGGCCCTGGCACCCACAGGTGGTGGGCAGGTTCTGGCTGCCGGGCAACCCCGGGCAGTGTTGGGATGCTGGGCAGGGTGATAGGGACACGCTCCTGCAAATGCCGGCAGCCGGGGCTCTTCCCAGGGCACTCTTGCCTGTCCGGGGCTTGGCTGGGGCATCTCCCAAGTGTTTCGTGGCCGATGTGTGAGGGACGGCTACTGGGGTTGGAGCCTGCTGCTGTCTCTGGCCAGGATGTCCCCTGGCTGCGGCCACTGGGGAGCAGCCGCTCTCGCCCTGCCTGGCCAGGGACACTCTGACAGCACAGGCCTCCCAAGGGCAACCTGCGTGCGGCACAGCGGTGGTGCACATGGCAGCAGCGGCATTGCCACCCTCAGAAATGCCGCTGGGCAGCAGGGAGTCACGGGGAACAGCTCCTGCCCCAGCTGTGTTCCCAAATTGCACAGCCACAGTGTGGACCCAGTTCTCTGCAGGACCCCCGTGAGCTGATGCAGCACCTGAGATCCAGCTCTTTGCCCACTGAGAGCTCCATCTCCACAGCATCTCCTGTCCCTTTGGGTCCATCTGCTCCTCATGGAGGGGGAGCTGGGGATGAGGAGGAGCCTCATGATCCCAGGGTGCTGCCTGCACTGTGAGGAGCTCTGTCCAGAGGTGAACCAGCATCACCTGCATCTCCCCATCCCTGCCAGGGGCTGTTCCGGGGATGGTGGTGGCGGAGCCCTGGCATCTTCCTCCAGCTGGGCTACCCCATCGCCTCTTGCTCAACCACCCGGATAAAGCAGTTTCCTCTTGATGGTTGCTGAGACCTGCAGGATGGAGTAGGCTGTCCCAGGGTCATCCCTCCCTCGCCAGAGCCACGAGGCTGTTGAGGATGCCTGGCCCTGTGTCTCCCGACCGCAGGAGATGGCCAGGCTCCTTGTGGTGTCTACAGCCCACCTCGTCTCACCTGCTGAATGCTGCTGTGCTCATGCGGGTCCCAGCTCTTCCTCCTCCCCGCCATGTCCTCAGGCTGAAGCAGGCATACCAGGGAAGGGCTGGAAACACATGGCAGCATGTGCTTCCCATTGAGGTGCAGAGCATCTTGGGCTCCCCCAAAACAAGACCATGCTCTGGCAACATAGGACGTGGGCGTCCTCCGCTTGGTGCAAGCAGATGGCCATTGGTGCCATACCCAGTGTCATCAATGGATGCCTGTGTGGGCTGCAGTGCTGTGCGCATGCCGGAGGATGAACATGCTGGGAGCCCTTCCTGTGCCACCTGCCTGGATACAGGGCCGGGGACTCTGGTTCCAGGGCAGCTGAGGACCCAAAATCTGTCCCTTTTTTAGGGACCATCTGTCAGGGGGTCCACCCAGCCTCATGATATCTCTCAGATCTGCCTTGTCTTTTCCAGCTGCTTCTCCTCAATGGCTCCTTGATTCCCCAGGAGCTGAGGGTCCCCTGTGTCCACTCCCTGTGCTTCAGGACGAGTGATTCTTGGCTGCTGCAGCATGGTACAAGCCTGCTTGGTGTGCTCCAGAGTTCATAACGGCAGCCTGACAGCCCGGGCAGCCAGAGCAGATATGGACCAGATGGCCAAGCCCAGTCCCTCTACCAAGAAGCACATGCGTCTTCAGGAGAGGTGAGTGTGGCTGGACGGTGCCTGCAGCCTGAACTCTGTGCTGCCCATCTCTGCCCAGACAGCCAGTACCCAAGGCACTGCTCATCCTGAGGCCTTGGGCTCCCTCAAACTTCCTTTCCCAAGCCCAGCCCTGCCAGCCTGCTGCCTGCCCACTTTTGCAGACACCAGGTCTGAGTGTGGAGGCAGCCCTGACTGCCCCCAGCCCAGCCTGGGCCTAATCTAGACGCTGTCCTTTAGGGGCTTTCCAGCAAATAGGCCAAATGACCAGTTAGTTCCTTGTTCCTCAACACTCCCTGTCTTCTGGGGTCTCTATCTGGTCCCTTTCTTCATCCTGTGTTATTCCCTGCATAGCTTTTGCTCAGTGTGGGGTGGTTTTAACTGACGATGTGGTGGGATAGGCTGCCCTCCTGTCCCCAGCTGGCAGAGGGTTAAGCCAGGGCCCCCTTTGCCTCACAGGAGAGGCTCCAATGTGTCGCTGATGTTGGACATGAGCTCGCTGGGGAGTGTGGAGCCCATCCAGCCTGTCTGTACACCTCGGGACATCACACTGAAGTTCCTGAGGACGTCCAGCCATGTGCTGAGGAGAGAGGAGCTCCAGCAACATGCCCAGAGCCTGGCACAGCTCCAGGAGGAGTTTTCGGTGCGATACTCCCCTCCCCTCTTCCTCCTCAAACAAGGGCTGGCAGGGGCTGGCAGTGGGGGGACTGGCATGGGTGGGCATCCTTGAGGGAGGCTCCGATCCCAGCTCTGCCCCACAGCACCAGTGGCAGGGAAGGTGATGTGGGAAAATGGGAGTGAGGGGTGCCCTGGGTATCCCCTGGCTGCCTGCTCCTGGTGCACGAGTGTCTGTGGAAAGCCCGTCCTTGCCCTCCCACGCCAAGCTCTTCTCCCAAGGCGGCCTCTCTGGAAGAAGTCCCACCCCATCTTGGGTAAGGACAGGGCTCATCCCAGGAGCTGACATCTGGTGATGCTGGTGATGCTGCTAGGTTCCTGGGTCAGCCTCTCGTTGCCTGGGGGACCAGCTCTGCCACGACAAGGGGACACGAGCAGCAGCAATGAGGTTTTCCTCATAGTTGTTGTCTCCTCCTGCAGAAAATCCCACCCAACTTCGTCAGTCCAGAGGAGCTGGAGATCCCTGGACGTGCCTCCAAGGACAGATACAAAACCATCCTCCCCAGTATGTGCCACTGCTTCCCTTTGCCTCACATTTGTCTGGGTGCCATGTGCAGGGAAAGGGATGGGTAAGAGTGTGAGTGTGTGTGCATGGGGTTTGTACACGAGAGAGGAGTGACTCAGAGCAGCCCTGGCACCGGAGTGGGCACTCCTGAGTGCTCTTCGTGTTCCTGCCATGCTTGTTCCTGCTCTCCGTGTTGCAGGAGCTGGGTGCTGTGTTGCGGGGGGTGTACACTGGGTGGGTGGTAGGTGGGGAGCTACTCCTTGGGGTGTATTCCCAGGGTGTGCAGCGCATGACAGTCCAGCCCCACCATGGAGACCTTACCTGTCCAAAGGCCATGTCACTAGGGGTATAAAGGCTGAGAACATTGTAGGAGGACTCATTTGGGCTCTAGTCAGGCACTGTGGGAAGGCCCTGGGGGGGTCATAGCCTGGTGGGTGAGTTACCCTACATGCTCACTGCAGTGCAGGCAGGTTTGGGCATGGCTGGCTGTCGCCTGCCATGGTAGTGAGGGTGAAGTGGGGCAAGAAGGGGCCCAAGGGAGGGTGAAGACAGCTCTGAGCATGGCATGGAGCTGGGAGGACTCAGTCTTCAGCCACTGGAGCTGAGGCAGGGAGGATGGGCAGAGTCAGGCTCTGGAAGACTGTCCCTGGGGTAATGTCTGCCATGTCTTTCAGATCCTGAGAGCCGAGTCTGTCTCAGGAGGGCAGGGAACCAGGAGGAAGACAGCTACATAAATGCCAACTACATCACGGTGAGTGTCCTGCCTGCTTGAAGAGCAGGTGGTCTCCCATGTTCTGCAGCTCACAGGCCATCGTGCTGCAAACTCCTCAGTGCTGCAGGTGCCATGCTGGGAGCCGCATGCCGGGCCACTGACCATCATCCACTGTTCTGGGGCTGCCCCAGAGTAGCAGTCTGAACTTGCCACCCCTTTCTGAGCTGGAGAGATGCGGCTCCATCAGCGCAGGGCAGACACACTGTCCCTTTGGTGGGAAAGCCTCACAAGGTGCTGCTTTCAGCTCCCACTGCTTGGGCAGGTTGAGCACCCATATGGGCTCCCTCGCAGTGGCTTCTCCATCTCTTCCTCATGCACTAGTCTGTTGTCTGGCAAGGCCACGGGAGGCAAGCCATGTCACAGCCCAGTGCTGTTTAACCCTTACACATCCAGGAATTTCCTCTCTGCTCCAGGGGTTTGCTGCAATTTCCCAAGAAGAAAGCTAATGAAGGGGAGGGCATGGCTAGTCTTTGACACCCAATGGGGTCCCTTTCCAGAGACTGAGAAATCCCCAGATCCAAGGGTGTTACTTCAGGCAGCCTGATTTATGATAATTGTTCTCCTGTGCAAATGACCCCTTCCAGGCTGCAGTCTCACTTGTGCTGAACCATACATCACCCTAAAACAGGCTCTTGTATCAGCAAGGTACAAGCTTTGCCTAGTTGGTAGGCTTCTTTCTGAGCAATTCATCTTGCCTCAGCATCCTTCCCCTTGGGACAGGCACAGGGCTCTGGGAAGCAGAGGTGGGTCCACAGCCACTCTGAGTGGGTGGCAGTAAGGAGAATGTGGGACTTGGAAAAGCAGCCAACAAAAGTGCCCTCTGGTATGATGGACAGACCCCTGGCAGGTGGTCTGAGGGTGCATGTTAGAGCTGATGGACATTTAGGAGCATTTATTTTCCAATGGTGCTCATGGGTCTGATCCAATGAGACAGCAGAGGTGTGACCTGCCAGCATCCTGCTGTGAGGGTCAAAGCCTGACTTTGGATACAGGAGCACCATGCCTAAAACTGTTGGGAGGCTTACTGGTCCAAATGAGGGTTTGAACATGGGCAGCAGAGGACTACTTCCAGGGTCGTCTTCCTGAAGCAGCCTGGCAGTGTGCAGTTTTACATCGGGTGACACCATGGCCCTGTCCACGTGCATCCGGGTGTACATGAGCATGTGGCATATTCTGCGTCTCACTGCACAAAACCTGGCCATCCCTATCTCACACACATGTGCACATATGTGTGCACAAACCTGAGCACACGTGCGCCCACACATCCCTGTGTGGAGTGGATGTTTCTTGTCTCCTTCCTTCCACTTACCTTTCCAAGGGTGTCACGGTGCAGGAAGTTGTGGGCACATCAGCAAATTAGCAACCCAGCCTGTTTCTGGCATGCTTGGGGGGCATAGTGAGTCTGGAAGAGCTCTGCAGGTATTTGATCACACCAGCCCCCACCTGGGATTGAATGTTTTTCCTGCTGACCATATCACATGAAATGTTTCTGAGCACAAGGAGCAGGTGGGGGGAAACTCCCAGTGTTGACACCTCCATGTCTTACTGCAAGTCTCCTTCTGTATGGAAAATCGTATTTCATAGCAAAAAAAAGAATAATCTTGAGACATGAGAAAAGGGCTATCCTGAAAATGTTCCTGCCCCTTGGCTGGGCCAGTGCAACTTCTTGTGGGACCAAGCCATTAACAGGATTTCTGGAAAGATCTAGATTAAATCACAGTGGTTTGGGTGCGTTTTTAACTGAGATCTCTTGTGACAAAACCGTAAGCTCTGCCCAGAATGCTGAGTACTCACTTTTCCAAAAGCTGTGGGCACTTTGGGTGCTTTCCCCAGCATCCCCAGGGCATCCTCAGCCAGGCCCTTGACTCCTTGCTCTATTGCCAAATTGCATCTCCAGCTGGGACCTGGAGTAACGTGTTACCAACCCTGGGAGAAGCCTTTCCCACACCTCCGCCTGTGCCTGCCCTCCAGCTCCCACCTGCTGCCACTGCACGCTCTCCCCTCCGCTGGGCCACCAGCATGGCCAGTGAGGCCACGGTGTGAAGCAGGAGCTGAGCAGGACTCAGGACACCTCTGAGCTTTTCTATTTCTTTGGTAATTTTATACCAAGAAAAGGAAGTGACTGAGGAGGCAGAGAATGCTTGGAGCTGTGAAACAGCCTGGGGCAGGGGCCTGTGCTGACTTCCCCTCCAGGTGTCTCCAGACCAACCATTCCCTCTGCTAGGCACTGCCCCGTCCCCTCCTGAGCCTGGTGGAGAGGCAGGACTGGTGGGACCCAGCTGGGACTATCCCAGCTCCCAGCTGGGAGTGAAGTTGATGACTTCTGCTTGTCCTTGGGGAAGCATCTCCGGTGAGAAGCACCCTCCGTGCGTGAGCTCTGGCTCACCAAGGCATCCATCATGCTGGCTATTGTCACACCAGTAACCTGAGGATGCTTGCAAGGAGCTTGGGTACACATGGCTTGCTCCAAGGGCTTGCTCCTGGCTTGTGGGACCAAGCAGATGGAGAAGATGTCTGGTAGTTTCTGATCAGGTCTACAAAAGCATTTCAAGGACAGGTTTAGTAGGAAATAGCCCATGTGTCTCAGCCTCTCACCTGTAGAGAAAAACAAGCACCATAAGAGCTGGGGTGACCTGGAGACAGCCCCTCCTCACACGTCAGAGTCTCTGATGGACTGTGTGCTCAGCAGGGCTACACAGGGCAGCCCCGGGAGTACATTGCCACCCAGGGACCCATGCTGAACACTGTGACTGACTTCTGGGAGATGGTGTGGCAGGAGGAGGCGCCCCTCATCGTCATGATAACCAAGCTCCAGGAGCGCAAAGAGGTACCGTTGTCACGCCCTGTGCCTGGGCACAGCACCCCAGCCAGGAGCAAAGGGTGGGATGGGATAATAACAACAGTAAATAAAAGGTTATGCAAGACCAAATGTGGGGTCTGAGCACCCACTTGTTTTCTCTGCTTTGCTCTCAGAAGGTACCCCTGATCGATCACACTCAGAGGAGGTGAGCCTCAGGGCCTTGGCCCCATCCAGCAAAGTCTCTCCTCCTCACGTGATCTCTTGTACTCTGGGCACGCTTTACCAGCCGGATAATGGGATAAAGAGATTAGGGCAACCCCGGGGAGACGGAGCAGAGGCAGCGGTCAGCAGTGTCCCTCCAGCCCCCCTGAGCAGCTCTCCTCCTCGACTGGGAGCTCTCAGCCAGTGGATCCAGGCTGAGATGGGAGCAGGCAGCGCTGTGCCCCACTTGGCAGTTTCCCTGTGCCTTGCCTGGGATCCCTGGCTCCCCATGCAAGGAGCACTGGCCTGGGGGAACTCACTCTCTCTTTCCTGGCCGTGTCCTTCCTCCCTTCTCTCCTTGGCTGGTGCAGCATCCCAGGCAGGCTGGGTCCTCCCGGGTCTGGCAGGACACAGACTAGCCCAGGAACAGCTCCTGTGGGGCTGGAAGCGATATGGCAGGGCATGGGAAAGGGTTCAGGGAGAGCAGATCTGGGGAGAGGGATCTATCCCATCCTCAGCCTGTGCTCTGTGTCACTCCACATCCACCTTCCCCACTCTCCAACACCTCCCCAGGTGACACCCCTTCCAAGAGCACTCAGCAAAACATACCTCAAACACCCAGTGGTTGCCTTGAGCATCTCCACAGCCACAAACCCTGCCTTGTTCTTTCAGAAATGTGTCCACTACTGGCCCGAGAAGGAGGGCATCTATGGCCCCTTCACCCTCTGCGTGCAGGCGGTGAGCGAGTGTGTGGAGTATGTGGTCCGAGATCTCTCCATCCAGGTGGGTTCAAGCTCCATCCTGGAGTAAGAGGGGGAGCCCAGCAGGGCCCAGCACTGCCCCCAACACCCCCGTGCTCTCTGGTGGGATGGCAAAGCTGTGTGACAGGAGAGCAGAGGGTTCATGGCTCAGAGAGCGGGGTCTTATGAGCCCCCTGCCAGAGGAGGGGTCTGCAGAGCTCAAGCCTGCCCAAGAAGGCTGAGCGGGAGCGGGACCCAGCCCTTGAGGGGAGAGGAGAGGGGGCCAGCTGGGGAGAGCTTCTCTGTTAGCCCTTTGCTGTTTGCACTGTGCCATTTGGCTCTGCCCTGTGTGCTCTCCATAGCCACCCTGGGCCAACACTAGCCAAAAGGATCTTGCTGACTTTGTCTGGACTGTGAGGACAGTATCAGGACACTGTAACTGTTCTCATCTTCTGGGATGGGATGCTTCCCAGTGTCCCTGGCCCAGGGGACTCTCCTGGGTGTCTGGCAGAGGCTCAAAGAGGCATTTGGGAGGAGAGCAGCTGAGATGGTCACAAGCTGCCCAGCCTCTGCTTGAGCTGGACTCCATGCCTTCATTTGTCCCAGCGCAGTGAGTCTGTGCTCCCACGTCCTGATTTCTCTTTCTTCTGTGCTGGAAAAGCTTGAAGGTGAATGCCGGCAGGTCAAACACATCCTCTTCCCTTCCTGGCCGGACCAGCAGACACCTGAATCAGCCAAGCCCCTGCTGCACTTGGTGTCCAAGGTGGAGGAGACTCTGCAGGCTGCAGCCAGCCCAGGGCCCATCATTGTGCACTGCAGGTAAGAGCTTTCCCTTCACCTGAGCCCTGTGTGTCCTTCATCTTAGGGTCAGTCTGCAAATGCCAGAGGGGAAAGTCGCATGTGAGCTGATCCTGCTGCAGCACAGAAATCCTAGGGCAGAGCATCCCCGTAGCAGTTATTCAACCAGCGACTTGTGTCCTGGCATCAGGATGGTGGTATTAGCATGGTGTATGCTGCTTTGTAAAGAAATCTGGTTTGCACCTGGCTCTGTGGATGGCAAGGTGGGAGCAGGAGAGCTCTGCAGGGTCAAGACTCAGCCACCAGACCCACAGCAGATCCATGGCTCAGGCTCCTGCTTCCTCTGCCACTGAGCATGGCCTGCGGCTTGGCTGTGAAGCTGTTTTTCAGAGCAGCCCTCCTGGAGGAGGTGGCCTCTGTATTTTATCTCACTGCTAAGTGAATTTGGGGACAGTGGAGCACAGTGTGCTCGGTCATGCCTGCGCAACACACTCAGCCTGCAATGCTGCAGGCTGGCCCACCCCAGGACAAACCACTCTGTGCCCGGGGTTAGAGCACATCTGGGAGGGGAGATGAAGGGGATGCAGAGACCCCTGCACTGTGCAGGGATGGGGCCACAGAGTGGGTTTGTGCTTCCAGAGTGACCTCAGCTGGGCCGTGCAACATGGCAAGACCCCCTTGCCGTGGCAGAATGACGCCAGCCCATGTCTTTTGGTGCCTGGCTGAGAAAGTTGGGACTGGGACCCCAGCATCCTTCTAGGAAGAAATCATGGCAACGAACCAATCCAGGAGCATGTCCAGCTCGGCTACATTAATATCCAGGCAGTGGACGTTTGTCAGTACTTAGCACAGCTGTGTCTGTCCTGCAGTGCAGGCATCGGCCGGACGGGCTGCTTTATTGCTACCAGGATTGGCTGCCAGCAGCTGAAGGACAAGGGAGAGGTGGATATCCTGGGAATCGTGTGCCGTCTCCGCATAGACAGGTGGGTGCTCAGAGCAGGCTGCTCCTTGGAGGGTCCTGCTGGCTGCCAAGCTTGGGAGTAGGCATGCAGTGGGACATGGGGATGGGCATTGTGAGGGGGCATGGGCACAATTTTTGATGGAAACCATAAGGGTTGCTGAAAGATGCAGATGTGGTGACAGCAAATGTCTGCCCAGTGCCAGGCTGGTTTTGCTATCAGGGCTGTTGTAGCTCTGGGGACCTGAGTATGTGAGAGAGAGAAGAGCAGTTCTGAACCTAGCAGCCAGTCTGCTCCTTCCAGCTCAGCCACTAAATTCAGAAGCACTTGATTTTGCCACTTTTCAAGGAGAAGTACCAGTAAAAATTAGAGCCAAATCAGTTGCTAATCTGCATTTGGAACAGCCCAACAATGCTTCTGAGCATGAATACTCTTTGGGCAGCTCTGGTGCCTGTTTCAGATGTACCTGGAGGTAGTGGGAATATTTGTGCCCAGGGAGCTGGGGATGGGGCTGTGGGCTTCAGCGAGGTGTCAGCAGGACCTGCCTTTCCCTTGCAGAGGCGGGATGATCCAAACGAGCGAGCAGTACCAGTTCCTCCATCATACACTAGCTCTCTATGCTTCCCAGCTGCCGGAGGTGGGAAGTCACTAGTGCAGGGCTCTCACTGAGCTGCCGGCTCCCTGCTCTGACCTCTCCTGCACCAGCCATGGGGACACCTCCACCAAAACCCCTCCGAGCCACAGAGCAGCAGCATGAGCATCCCTGGATGAACACAGCCAAGCAAACCCATGGGGATCGTGGCCTTGCTACCCTGGGCATGAACAGGGTTTGGCAAGTTCACATGAGGGATTCAGTGGGTGCTCGAGGTGGCCGTCGCTGCTGGCTCCAGGCAGACTTCACTCCTGGAAAGAGCCTTTAGCTTTTGAAATGTGCAATGTTTTATCCTCAACCAGAAGAGCGAGCTGTGCGGAGGAACTGAAGCTGGGTGAGCTCCAGGAGCACAGCTTGCCTTTTAGCTGCACAGAAATGTTTACCCTGTTAGACATGGAGCTGGTACTATTACCCTGCAAATAAACAGAGCCTCTCTCCTGATTTTGTGTCATCTGTGGGCAGAGGCTGCGCTGTGTGCAGGGCCTGGGCTTGCTCCGAACACACGCCACGATGCTCTTTTTGCTAAAGATACACCTTGATGATTTAGCACAAAAGGTGCACAGTTGGCTGCCTTCGTTGCGTGCTTGCTTTCCTCTCCACCTTTGGCCGACACTTTCTCAACAGCCTTAAAGTAATGGAGATTCCTAAGCACATCTGCAGTTTTGCAATGTGTTTGTGATTGCCTTTTGTTACACGAGAGTGGGGGTTTTGCATTCTTGTTTTTTTTTCTGAAATCAGAACAAAATAGTATTTGGCTTTTTGTTGCTGTTGTTTTTCTGATCAATTCATGAGGGAAAAAGGAAGAAGAGGGAGAAACATTTTGGCACAAAGCATGGGGATGGAAACATTCTGTAAAATATTTTAAAGCTATTCAAAGCTAGCCTTCAGCTGATGGGCATTCCATACCCTGTTGGGCAGTGAGGACTGATAAGGAGCTAGGGCTGCCTAGCCTGTGCCTACCCGTGCCCATAAGCCCTGATGTGGCCCATTCAGTGGGTGAGACCCAAGGAAGAGCATCAGTCCTCTTGCTGAGAGAGTATGAGCTTGCCTTGGCTCCCAAAGCATCCCCAGGTCAGGGCTGCATGGATCCCCCTCCACCACTCTGAGGGTCCCCAAAATGTAGCTGAATAGCTGCCCAATGGTTTTGCCCTAGTGCCTGTTGTTCAGGCTCTGTGGCTCTCTTGGGAGGAGAAATGACTGAATAAAAAAAGAAGTTTCATGCTTCACTCTGCAGTTCTCCTGGCTTGAGGAGGTGGGGTCCTCAGGCCTGTGTCTTCCCTCCCAGTAGCCCATTCTCACCCCTCCTCTCCTTGCTCCTCTCCTACCCCTCTCCACTTACTCCCTATAAAAGCAGTGAGCGAACAGGTGAAGCAGCCTCATCAAGGGATGGCTAGAGATCCAAAGTCCGCAGCTTCTTGCTAATCTCACTGGGTATAAGCAGCAAACCCAGAGGCAGACCAGATATGTCCCACTGTGTGAAAATACCCAATATTGCAGAATTTATCATGTATTGTTGAGCACTGGTAGTCATTATTAGTAGTTCCCAATGTGTTTGCAGACTCTTCAGATAGAGTACTTGCCAGGGCACTTCCAATAGCACGATAAAGCCACGTTGAAAAATCTGCTTGCTGCAAGGAGCAAATCCTTTTGAAGAAATGACGCAGAGAGTGGATGGAAGAGTGACAGACAGTGAGAGACCCTCTGCTAGCACAGCCCCCTCCCACAGCACCAGGAACAAACCCACTCCTTGGCCCTGCAGCTGGAAAACTCCCAGATCTGAAGCAACATTCTTCCAACTATGGCATCTGGATTGCCCCAGCAATCACCCTGTACCAGCTGCCAGGTCAGTCCTTCCTTGTGCCACAGCCTGCCCATCTGGGCACTGCTGGGAGAACCTTGGTCTCTGCGGGAGTCCTGCCTGGCGCCTGGGCTCTTGGAGAGACCACAGAGCCTCAACAAGTCCCCTGAAAGTGAAAGCATGGCTCAGGATTTTTCCTTCTCAGTTAATATTGTCGTCGATGGTGTCTCTGAAGCCACCAATGAAAGTTTCGAGCTCATCTGAGATAAGCTTTATTCAGCTGGCCCACAGCATCCTCGTTTCCAAGTCTTTCCTCCCTACTTTGCCATCAGGCAGAGGAATTTGAAAAGCCTGCAGACTGTACCACGGCATGGTCTTTCCCTGCGCTCCCTGGACAGCAGGCCATGCACCATTTTTCTCATGCTTTTGGTTTATTACCAAGAGTTGAGTTGTTAGGGCAGGCTTGCAGCGAGACATGTGTTGAGGGTCTCGCAAGGCACACAGGAGTAGTACTGGGACCAGCAGCCGAGCAAGGGATCTTGTCACCCCCTCTCAGATTTCCATCGGGTGCTGGAAGTTTTGTAGTTCAGCTGTCTGATGCAGATTGTGATCTGTTAAGCAGTTTTTCCATCTTTCAATTTCAATTTGTACCAGCTCTCTCTGTTCAAAACACTTATCAGGTCATTGCCACTGCACTATCTGAGTATCTCTCCATCCTCCCTGTATTTATTTTCCAGGCACTCCTCGGAGCCGTGCTCGGCTATTGCCTGCATTATTGCAAAACCCCATCCTGGGGCTCACCCAATGTCAGAGGTGAAGCAGGGTGTTTGATCTGGTCTGGCTGTGTCAGGCTTATGCCCTGGGAAACTCCTTTGCCCTGACTGTAAAGACTACAGGGTGCCCAGCAGGCAAAGGAAAGGCAAAATCTCATGTCTCCCCATGCCCCAGGCTGAGATTAAGCCCCTGAGTTTGGCCACGGGGTTCCGCAGGGCTGAGATTGCTCCTGTTTCTCATTCCCCTCCGTTAAAACCCTGACATGGACCCAGCTGCCTTTTTCCTTCTCATGGCATTTCTGTGCTTTGCTGTACGTGCAACCCAGACAACCGGGCAAGGTGCTGGTACCGGGTCCCTGGGCTACGGACTCTGCAAACCATGTGCCCAGCCGGCCAGGTCCTGCCCAGGGTTCAGAAGAAGTCCTTTCTTCACATGACTGTAATTTTGGCCTGGGGTTTCCCAGGCTGGTAATCCGTTTCCTACCCTTGTGACAACTCACTAGGCTGGAGGTTGCCTAGGATGAGAGAAAAAAACATGCAGGCATTGCCAGTGGAAAGGAGACCCAATGTGGTCCAAATTCACTGCAGCTGATGGAGAGTGCCAGTGCATTGCATAGCATCCCCATTGAACATAGCACACCACTGAAAGCTGCAGCAGGGCACTGCTTTGGCTGGGTTCTTGGAAGAGCAGGACATTGGGGTAGGATGTGCCAAAATTCAGTGGTTTGGGTATTCAATAACAGCTCTCTGCTCAAGCATGCAATGTCCAGCAGCATCCTCATGGACTCCAAGTAATCAATGAGCAAGCCACCACCCAGAAAGGAGACATTTCAAGGCATGCTTTGACATTTCAAGGCATGCTTTTACATTTCAAGAGCAGCACTGGGGTCCCAGGAGCTCATGGAGGCCCTGTGAGAGCACCGGCAACAGGTGGGACCCTGCAAAGGACGAGGTCCACCCAGCAGCACCTCAGCCAGCACCAGAGCAACAGGTTGACCTGGTGGCTGGGAACACCAGGGACACTGTGGGGCATGGGACTGACATCTGTTCGAGCTGGTCTTTGGAAACCCAGTGGTTAAACCGTCAGTCAGGGGAACACGGAGAATAAGCCATCCATTACCTCACATTAACATGAAGCACAGCCCTGACAACTCAGTTTCTTTAAGGAACTTGGTTGAGCAACCACAACAAAACCTTCTGGGAATTTCAAATATGCTCTTGTCTGCAGAGGTCCTGGAGCGGTGCTGGCTCTTGCCTAGAGATGCTCTGCCCAGTCCCACACTCCTGCCGTGGAGACCACGGGGTGACCCAATGGAGGACAACACTGCAGAGGTGCAGCTGTGGGGACCCCCTGGTTCAAACCAGCAGGAAACAGCCAGACATCTCCAAACCTCCGAGGCTAGTCTGAGACCCTTCTTTCACTGCGGATAAGGAAATGGGGAAAGACAGAGAGGGGCGAGTACATGAAAAGGGCCTTTTTTGTTCATTTACTCATGTCTCTCCTGGTGTGGGGATGGACTTGCCCAGTTCCCATCTCTGCTGCGAGGGGTGTGTTTTGTTTGAGCACTGGTTGGACAGTTTCTCTGGCAGGGACTGCAGTAACACACATGCTATGAGAAGGCAATCTCCTCTAACAACTCGAGTGCCGCAGGTGTTTTGATTGAGAAGCCCCAAACTCATGTAGGGACATTCCCTGGGCTGGAATCTGTCAAAAAAAAAAAAAAAATCTTCAGGCAGAAATTACACACAAGAATTGGGGGACGATTAATTTTCCACTGGTATGAGGATCTACAAAGGAGTAATTACAGAAAGCAACAATATTCCTGCTTCCTTAGGCCTCCCTTTGAGAGCACAGGGATCTTTAGCAAGCTGCAGCATCTCTGAAAACAAAATGGTTTCTGTCTCCGAAAACAAAGGCAGCTTCCCAGTAACTTGCAGCATTTGATGGAAACTCTTTCCCACCATTCTCATGGGCTCTGAGATACCCACTGTGAGGCAGATGCAACCACAGCTCAGTTTCTCTATTTTCTGTGCGTCCATGTTTGTCTCAGGCAGGCAGGCAGCCCCAGCAGTGAATTCAGCACCCTCGTCTCTCATGGGTGCGTAAACAGCCTCCTCTGCACATGGGCTCTCCCCAACAACGACTGAAATAAAGGTTCTGCCTCTTTGCCCCTGTGCAAGGGAATAGCAGATGCTCCCATGTGTCAGCCTTCATTTTAGGACTGACTCAAATCCAGCTGGAATGTAACCAAGCCTTGTTAGCATTTGCACAGCCGGCCAGCGCCACTGGCAGTGGACTGCCCTGAGCACTCAGCATCATATGGAAGATGTGCACCCCATTACCTGGGGAAACTGAGGCCCGCGGACAAAGTGCCAGGTCAAAGTCCAGCCTCCAAACCCAGAAAACCAGTGAC